TGCGCACGAATCATTCGTGATCCAGCCTCATCTACAGAAGAAGTGAGTATAATGTTTTGTAATGAATTTTTGCAAATCGCCTTTCCTAATAATGTGCTAATTAGCAAGTTTCACGATGAATGCGGCTAAAGTAAACAGTCTCCCTGAGAGTGGCTCAGAAGAGAGGGGCGGGGTCAGCAGAGCTCATTAACATTTAAAGGAAAATGCTACAAATCTGCATGCTCTGAAAAGAGCTGTTTTTGACAGGGTAAAAAAGGTGTTTTTTACACTACAATTGCGAAATTTTAACCAAACTATGTTACAGACTTTTCATTAAGACCCTAAAGAATCATATCAACTTGTGGAAAATGGGCATTCTATGACCCCTTTAAGAAAAAATTACTTTTGCTCAGAAAGGATGCTGCTTTCTTGATCTTTCTATTTAAAGAATCCTGAAAAAATTTCACAAAAATATTAAGCAGCACAACTGTTTTCAACACTGATAATAATTATAAATGTTTCTTGAGCACCAAATTAGCATATTAAAATTATTTCTGAAGGATCATGTGACACTCCTCACAGAAATAAATTATATTTTTAAATTAGTGCTGTCAAACGATTAATCATGATTAATCGCAACTGTGTATATTTATTATGTATATATAAATACACACACATGCATGTATATATTTAGGAGGAATATGTTATTTTTATATATTAAATGTATTTATTTATAATATAAATTATATGAATATAAATACAGACATGTAAATACGTGTAAACATTTTCAAAATACTGAATGTGTGTGTATATATATATTCATAATAAATATACACAGAGCACACACGTATATTATGCAAACAACAACTTTTATTTTGGATGCGATTAATCGCGATTAATCGTTTGACAGCACTATTTTAAATATATTTTAAAAGTTTTTTTTTATATTGTAATATTTTACAATATTACTATTTTACTGTATTTTCCTAATAAATTCAGCCTTGGTGAGCATAAAATACCTTTTTTAACATTAGCAAAAAGAATTGGGGGAAAAACAGTAAATTGTAAGAAAGGTCTTTGTAGTAAACAAAAATATATTATTATTTATTATGATAAATTGCACATTATTATTCCCTATTAAATGTTTTGAATTTAATCAAATACATGTTTAAAAAGCCCACAAAAAAATTCTAATATATACTGTATACATTTTTATCTTGTTGTCTGTAAAAATGTAAAAATAATATACATCTTTAAAACAAGATAAACTGACCAGAGAAGCAAAATTGCATGAGACATTGAGACTTCAAGAGAATATACAGTAAATATACTATATGTACTTTTGGTAATACGTGTATTTTTCTGACCCCATGTTCTTATTTTTAAGGAAGAAAAAAAAACTTGCTAGATTATATGAGGTTTAAGCTTACAAATAAAACCCAAATATACTGATAATTTTTATTATTACTGAAAAAATTATTTTAAGGTACAGCACAATTTAGTAAAATGTTAAAATGTCCTTTAACACTATAACATTTAAACTTTTCCACCCTGTACCACAACTAAATGTGAAAAAGGGGGATGACATTTGTGTCTGGTGACTTTACCAGGTACATTTTCCAATCATCTCAATGTCTTCAGTCAATCATCTCACCCGCTGCCATTCGTGCCTCTTTTTCTCCATCACTCAGGTCAGTATAGGCATCATTTTCAAGCCGTCTCTCCCTCTCGCGGATCAGATTGGAGCGTCCCGCTCCTCCTTCTGGCCCTGCGGATGGTTTACCCCAGCTCTGCCACTCAATCATGTGGGCCACACGACCCTGAGCCATGGCAGTGGGCTTGGTCACTTTGTCCTTCATTGATCTGGTAACACCTAAAGAGAAAGGAACACAAGTCAGAACCTGTACAGACTCGACATGGAGCTGCAGAAAGGGGCTAAATGAAAGCAGCCAGGCAGTGCATTATGGGATTTTGTTTAATCACGTTACTACAGTAAACTACTGCAAGGCTCTGTGGATGATAACAACTGAATGAGTGATTATGAATGAGCTACAGTCTGTTGATTTGATCAATCGCTGTGCGAGCGGTGACGGAGATGAGATTGGTTGACCATCTTTACAAATACGTTATTCACGAGAGTAATGAATTGCACGAGATTCATAAGCTGTTATGCATGTATGAATAATTAGAGCTGAACTTCTAAACATTTTCTTTAAACAAAATGGCTCATTAGCATGCAAATATCTCGTTCGAACGAGAGACGCATTCGTTTAAAACGTAAGGCTCTGAATGCAAAAGAGAGCTAAAAACAAGGTAGTCTGATGGTAACCTCATTGATGGTTGTGTGATTTTTCTCGAGGCTGCTGACAATGATAAAAACCCCATCTGATGAAGTGACTGCTCTCTTTAAATACTTTGATAAATCACCTCCGTTTGGTCCAGGGGAAAAACAATCGAAAGGTATCACTTGAGCACTTCACCCCATTTACAAGCATTTAAGAAAAACAAGAGAAATACAAAAGATACAGGACATTAAATCGAGAGATATTCAGATACCTACATTTCCAGAAACCTGTTGTGACAATGAGTAGTATCCATGAAAAAAACGACACCACAACGCACAGTTTACTTCACAAAAGAGCACTTCACCTCACAAAACCACAAAACACACTACAATACACAGCTGGCGTCACACCGAAAGACTACGATTCCCAGCAGCAAGCTTGTGGAGATGGATAGTGCACTTACGTCAATCGTTTTTTGTGAACTCTTGTTGGGTCTGACTGGGGATTTCATCAATGGCTAAAGAGGCCATTGACATGCACTAATTAATGGAGGAGGCAGGTGGTGAAACTGGAAAGGGAGGGGGACCCACAGGGGCAGCCATGTTGGCTCCAATAGCCATCTCCTCCTCTAGAGCCAACATGGGGTCGGTTACCAGCTACCGGGACAGACACACACCTGACACACCTGTCAGAGAGGACTTAGCCAGAGCCCCAATCCCATAGGCGTTGGAGTTCCGCTTCAGACTGGGCAAAATGGAGGTGGTGTCTTCCATGGACATCTGACGAAAGAAAGAAAGAAAGAAAAGTTAGGGAAGTAGGAGTAAAAATCAATTAAAGCAATAAGCCACAAAATCACTAACACACAGCCTCATCTGGCTTATTACTTTCATTATACACCGGCAATGGCACTGATAAAGGACACCAAGGCTGAATAAATAATTACATTTATTAATCATAATTGACAATAAACAATCCTTCCGCCAAGTAATATAGTTCATTGGCCTAATTGTAGACTTTTTACTGTTGTGGTAGCAAATTAAACTTAAAACACATTAAAATGATAGTTTAAAAATGAAAATTTTGTCATTTACTCATTTCTTAATTTGTAAGAAAGTAAATGAGGATTGTCAAAATTACAAAAAATTTACCATAAACATGGTTCATTCAACAATATTCTGAATCTTCTAAAGCAATTCAGTAACTTTGTAGGGCAAACTGACTTAAATTTCGTTAGTCATGATTCACTGAATTAGAAAAGTAGTGAAAGCCAATTCATAACCCAATCATTATTTTGAGGATTTTAAATAAATAATTAGATTCAGTTCACAATTTTAAAAATCATCGACTGTAGTTTGCCCATGTCGAGTAAGGTTCCGGCAAAATACCGGAAGTGGCGCGTTCCATGACGGACAGTTATCCATTACCATTTTCTGAAAGGCTGCATGATATATTAAACCAATTTACAAATCATAATAAAGCTTAATGTTATTGTGAATTCACAAATGCTATGATTAAATTAAATAAATATATGCAATTGCAGGTTAAATATATGCGCTTTAATTATTTACATGCGAGTATGTTATGTACCTGAGTGCTCCGTTCACAGTAAATGCTGCTCCACATGAACTGTTATCATTTGCATGTGTGGAGCGTCTCAAACTCTGCATATTGCTGTGAGTTTGGGTTTATTATAACCTTCATCTGGCAACTCAACGTGTGCCAATTCATCAGATTTGTAAGGTAAATCACAGGAGAATACATCATTATCTTTCTCAATATGGCAACTTAATGGTTCATTGCAATTTCAACATAATTGCTCAAACCTCACGCTGAGTTTGTACGTTTTGATGTCCACATATTCAAGAAATGACAGTAGCTGTAGCTTTTCTGTCGTAAAGAAATGACCAAATATTAAACATTAAGTGGATATTTGAATTAAATGTTGTTTAGTAAACATGATTAATTTGCGCAGTGTAAAAACAATCGTAAGGCCATTGACGCCCTCTGCAGTCGTTTGATATAATGCATAATGTACATTAGTTCTATTGTTTATAATACATTATGTATTTTCACAGTTTTTTTCTTCAATACAAAACATTATGGTGGTTTTAGAAGCTTGAAAGCTCAAGTCTGCATTCACTGTAGTTGCTTGGCCCACATGATTCAGATTTGCTCCTTTTGCACATTTGAAAGAAAGAAATTTAAAGAAAAATAAAGTTAAAAAAAATTTTTTAAATAAAGATTGAAAGATTTGCCGGATGCTTAGTGGTGGTGACATTGAGATTGTACAACTGGTGTAGTTCCCTTAGCCTATAGCTTTTTACTTCTGGTCATTGTATTTCAGAATTAATTTAAACTTGTAGGGATGAGTGTTGTTATTGTTAGCTAAAACTATTCAAAATAATTTTTGTAATTAAAAGAAAGCTAAAAAATGAAATACTTGAACTTAAAATATGTCAATGAAAATTAGAACTGAACTCAACTGAACTGAACTGTTGAAGAATAAAAATAAATTAAAGCTAAATAGAAAATCAAAACCTAATGAAAAACAAAAATAAAACCTAATAGAAAATGACAAAAGCACTAAAAGTGCAATAAAAATAAAAAACATGACGATAAAAGTTAATTTAAAATATTAATAAATTATATAATAGTTTTTAAAAAACGCTAAAACATCACTGGTAAGAATCATAAACTTTTGTTGTAACTGTCCTTTTTTCATTTTAAGGTGAGAGCAGATGTCACTAACTCCATGTCATCCACACTGTGTTATCATCTCTCACATCCACTGCCACCTACACGTCACAAAAACAGGCCAAATCTCAGATAACATGACGTGGCCTATCGAAGACAGCTGGCGGACAGCTCAAACCCCCAGAGAAACCTGCCAATGATGGAAAACTGTGGAGTCATGGCAGACATTTAAGGCGAGTCTTATGTTCATACAAACCTTTCAGTATATTAACATCTCCAGTAATTACTACATTTACCTTCACAACATCACCATTGTACAATACCGATCAAAAGTTTGGAATAATTATATATATATATATATATATATATATATATATATATATTATGTTTAATGTTTAAAGCAGTCTCTTATGCTTACCAAGGCTGCATTTATTTGATCAAAAACAGTAATATTGTGAAATATTGTTACAATTTAAAATAATTGTTTTAGCTAAGCTTAAAGCTACATTTTTGGAAGTCATTACTCAATTTTCCAGTGTCACATAATCCTTCAGAAATCATATTGAACAATAGTACTGAACAATATTTCACAATATTACTGTTTTTGATCAAATAAATGCAGCCTTGGTGAGCATAAGAGATTTCTTTTAAAAACATTATAAAATCTTAATTATTCCAAACGTTTAAACAGGAGTGTATCTGTCATAAGATGCTGTCCATGTTTTTTGAGCATTTGTTAAAAAAAATTAGCTGGCTACCCACAGAGAGTAATATGATGGAGAAAACAGATGTTCATATCATTTAAATACGAAAATATCACAAAACAGAGACTGAAAACAAGAGAGGCAGAAAGTATGAAGGGCATAAGGTCAATACCAGACGTACATTCATTCCTTCCCAGGAAAACTCGGCACGTCCTTGCTAGAAGCAAAGCAGATAACAGTTGAAGAATAGATGGGAAAGATACAGTGAAAGAGAAGAAAAGGCATGATTTCAGTTAGCAGGAAACAGCAGAAGGCGAAACATCAAGCCAAGTACAGAACACTAGATCTGGAAGAACAACAGATAAACAGAAAGCAGGAGAAGGAGGCAAGACGCTGTTCATCTGTTATGAACTGTTGTGCAAACTGTTGTGTTAAACAGATAATTCACTAATATGGTGTAAAATATTCATGAATGAAGAACCACCTATAGTGTATCTGTGTTGATGTCTGCCTTAGAAGTCTCTACACTGGATGAGGACAGCAGCAAGAGGAGATGGAGGCGACTTTGATGAGTAGCACTGGAGTAAGTAATCCTAGCCAACCCAAACATTCTCACAGCGAGCGATCGATCGCGTTTACATCACACCCAGCGCAGTGAGACAAACACTGGTGCCAGTACGAACAGCAGCAGCCGCTCATTGTTCATTAAGAGAGAGATCAATGTGAAAGGTTAAACGGAGGTCAGTGTCAGAAAGGCGTTGGCGTGGGGCAAATGTCGGCCCCTTAGAAACTCTGAACAGACTACAGGCACGCTTGGACGGTTCGGGGTCGATCGATTAGTTTCCCACCATCTTAGTCTTTATGGCCGCTTCTGTAACATAAACATGGAGCTGGCTCCTAAAAATACATTTTTGAGGCTGGCTTGCAATTACGGCAGCCATCTACAACTTTTCTGTGGGGGGCAAAAGCAGCTAGGTGCAAATCAAAAACATAGAATTAGTTTTCTTCTCCACCCAGTGATGAAGTAATTAATGTTTTTGCCACACACTCTAAGGTGGAACGCTGTGTAAAGAACGTTTCGGATGGGATTTGTTTTCAAATCAACTTTTAAGTTACAATTATTAACAGAAGATGGCTGTGATTTAATGTACTAATGAGAAGGATTGGGATCTTTGTCGTTTTTTTCTTTTTGGTTTTACTAAAATGTGTCTGCATGGTCAAATTATTGATTATTGATTTTACACATTTTTTAAAAGAGATGAGATGCCAGCAATATTTAAAGTGTTAGTTCTCAAGTCAAATGTCACAAAACTAATACAAATGAACACAACTATAAATGTGATATGGTTGAAAAGTTATGTAAATAATAATAGATACTGTAATGAGCACTTTTATCAGTCCATGATTATGCTTTTCTTATTGATTTTATTCCGTTATTAAATCAAATGAGATTCTAGTAATACTTGAACTGGTATTTCACAATGCAAGCATAAATAAACAACTATATATGTAACATAATTAAAATTCTATACAAATAACTGAGGCGCTGCTACTATAATGAGCACTTCAATCAGTCCATGGTCGAATAATGTAATACTTGTAACATTTAACTTGTAACTTTTAGACAAAAAGGTCTAAAGTAAAATTTAGCAACAGCTTAGTTATCAAATGAAGGTCAAAATCAATAAGGAGCACTGTAAATAATAAACCACAATCCCATGTATTCCTATTAGAGGAGATTTCTCAGTCAGAAGTTAGCTAGGTAATTTGATGCTTATACTTTTTTCGAGGTTGTGTGAGGATAAAAACACATATTTTATTTAAAAAACACACATACAAGTCTGTGAAACAAAATAGTCCCATCTAGGGCCTTTCAGTTCAACCTATAATAGTTTATTTTTGTGAAGTTCCAGGGCATTTGAGTTAGCACTAAGATAACTAAAATAGCCTTGCTACTTAGCAACTAGCACCTGATTCTTGAGAGATTTCCATTGCTAGGCAATCTTTTATGACATAAATTCGTACTTTTATTTTTGTTATTCTTAATTTAGCAACCAGCAAGTGGCTTTTCGAGTGCGGCTCGCTAACACAAACGCATACACGCACAACACAATTGGCTCCAGCGACAGTGGGATGACACCACCTCCTGGCGCGGCTTCTTAACTCTGCATTGAGATATTAAACATGCTGTTTGGTTTGGACTGCTACCAGAACCCAAATGGTAGATTTTGAGCCAAATTCATCTGTGGATGAGCAGAGCGACAAGCCAAGAGCTGTTGCCCTTGGGTAGGACGTGAACACAGGCGGCAAACAGGGAAGACGGATGAGGCTATGCCTTCCCAGGAGACAAAGCCGTTACGGCAATACTGTACGGTAATGGCTGGGCTCTGGGGTCCGGCTCTCGTGGCCTTGCTGAGAATCTAATATAGAGGCTTTTCAAATACACATTATACCATCACGCTTTCTCTGACTTTCAGCGCTACAGGGCGGCAAGAAGTGCGTGTGGCACGCAGGGGGTCTTCGTGTTAGCTAAAGACTTCATTAAAGTGCCATGAGGCACAAATGTCAGCACTTGGTAGGTATAATAGCTTCGGACAGAAATGCAGACGTCGCACAAGTATCATCTTGGCAAAGGGACGTCATGTAGATGTGATCCTTAGGGCTTAAGCTCACAACATGGGACAGAGGTTTGGTGCAAAGCAAATCTTAAATATGCAAAGCGCTGTAGTTTTACTTACCTGCTCCCCATCTTTCCGAACGGGAACTGCATCCACCGCTGCAGGGAAAGAGAGAGACAGACAGAGAGCGAGATAAGGGAATAGGCATGTGGCTTATGCAACCTTTACCGAATATGCTAAGTCAAACTGACAGCTCCTCGCTACATTTTCTGCTGACATTCACACAAAGACCTTAAATTAGATTAATTATCCATCCGAAACTGCCAGCACTCTGTGGGGAAGGAGATTTGTTGCATCACGCTTTTATATCGCATCATTCCTATAAAATGATAAAAAACATTTAGTGATCGTGCTGCTTGATGCATTTATACAAATTATTAGGCATTGTATTTTAAGAAGAGGCTTCCAAGAGATGCTGAATTTAAGATTAACTGTAGAAAAAAAGAATTCGGACATCTTTAGTATTAAAATCGTATTCATTAGATTCATAAATATGTTTATTTTGTATTCTAGCTTCCTGTGTATTTGCACTTCTGAATCATTTTGATTATGTTGATGGTGTGTGTGTGTGTGTGTGTGTGTGTGTTGACAGTGACTCATTCAAAATGACAAACTAGAAATGACACGTAACCCAGTTTGCACTAACATTTTGAATGATGTGCCTGAAAACAATCACCCTGTAACATTAGAGACTGCATAAACACATAATATTGAAGCATAATGACTGTTTTTGAGACAAAGCAATAAATGGAGCCGTAGCGTTCAGTGATGAAACTATGGTCCATGAGGCCAACCAGCAATCAAACAATCATCTGTATCAAACGTATTAACAACAGTATGCAAACATGCAGGTGCACTGTAGGGCTATATAAAAGATGTTTCGACTGGTTTAGACAACGGCACACTTGCTGCTCATGCTGTCGCCTTTAGCGAGAGTAAGGATATGTTTGCAAAGAATGATAAATGGCTGTAAAGGAGAGATTGTGTGGAAGCCATTACAGCATGCGGAGATGGTTTGGTTGTGTAGGCTAATTGCTAACTGCGGTCACTGCTCCCCTCATTTACAACAATCCAGATTCATCAATTCAATGAAGAACAAGAGTAAAACCTAGTGCATGCTGTGCCGTTTTTTCCTGCTACAATTGCCACTTGTCAGATTGTACAATATGAGCCCAATGAGACTTTGCGTAAAGCTGCGTTCACACTGTGAGACTTTGCCATCTGACACAAAGTTTGGAAATCATGAAAGATTTATCTTGTTTTATATGGTAAAATCCTTGAAAATTGTACAGTAGGCACCTGGCTTAAAATGCTAACAGACTTTCAGAAATGCATCACAAAAGCCCTATTGGGATGGTAATTGTCTCTCAAGGGGAAGACTGAAAAAATTAATTTGTATGACTCTTCAGTGATAAAACTGTGTGTTTAGATGCAGATTTATTCATGGTGGAAGATTTGTGAAAATGCACTTCTCGTGTAGTCAGTCACATGTTTAACATTTATTTAAATATTCTATTTAATAATAGGAATGATTTTCTGTCTTGCATTTTATCTCTTTAAATGATGGATGCTGTTTTAAAGATTAGCAGAAATTTGAAGAAACAAGTTAACAGGTATTTGGTTGACTAGTAAAATGATTAGTCTTGCAAACCTTGATTTATATAAATGTATATAAGACATTTTAATATTTTATTGCATACCTGTTGCTGCCATAACAATGGCAAATTTCAAAGACTTACATGATTTTTGTTTTCTTTTTCTTCTTAGCAGCTCCCACTCGCTGTAGTGGAGCAGTGATGTATTATTATTCCTGTAAACCGATTCCTGCATTTCAGAAATAAAAGTCTATTTTTTAAATGCATGCATGCTGAGCACGCCACACTCAAAGATCCAAGTCTGATGACTTTTCCATATGACAAAAGAAGTCTTTTATGATTCCAAAAAGTCTGAAACAGCAAAATCGTGGCCAAAATTGTGCTGTGAATATTGAAGAAATTCTGCATGAGAACCTTCACAGTGCACATGTACGTAATTATTAGTGAATGAGACCCTGTCTAGCTGCAGTACACATGCTCTCTCACTCCCCCATCTCTCTCTATTCAATTTAGGTCTATTTAATTTAGCTCAATATCAGTGAAATTGAGTTTAGCATTGGCTTGATTCATTGAACTCATTTACAACAGTCCTAAACTATTGACGCAATAGAATAACAATATTGTGATGGGGTTAATCACATCAAAACAGAATGTACCAGTCCTTGTTCTATCTGCATCTGATTTTTTTCTTTTTTTTCACTCGAGACTCCAGACTGATTTGGATCTCAGAATGCATTAATTGCATCCCGTGCATGTGTGTGTGAGTGTGTGTCTTTTAATTGCTGGGCTCTCTCTCTGTAAGTACAGCAGAGCCTTTGGGCCTCAGGGCCATTTCCTCAATCAACCTAACCCACTCTGGAGAGATGGATAGAGCCATGCAGAGCAGCGCAGCTCTGGAGGAGACCAGTGAACAAGAGTGAGGAGTAAATAGAGAAAGACCGATAAAGTGAGTTAACGTAAAGCAGATCTACTCATAAGACCAGACCAGAATATCAGCAACAATGACTAGATAGGCAGACAGACAGACAGACAGACAGACAGACAGACAGGTAGATAGATAGATAGATAGATAGATAGATAGATAGATAGATAGATAGATAGATTATACAATTACACATAAAATGAATGATAGATTGAACTAAAGACAGAATAAATGATCAATTTAACTATAGACAGAAAGATGGATAGATAAACAGACAGATAGAATGAACGATAGATTGAAACAGACAGACAGGTAGAATGAATGATAGACTGAACTAAAGACAGAGAAAACAGAGATAGTTAGACAGACAGACAGATTGAATGATAGCTAGAATGACAAGCATACAATGAATGATATTTTGAACTAAAGACAGAAAACAGATACATAGACAAACAGAGAATGAACCATAGATTGAACTATAGATAGATAGATAGATAGATAGATGGATAGATGGATGGATGGATGGATGGATGGATGGATTGCCGCACATCCCAGCTGTCAGGACCCATAACTTTCTATCCGTCCATTCCACCATGATGTTGTTACGGACAAAACACTTCCACTCATGCAGGAAAACACATTGAGAAAATCCCAAGAGACATGAAGGATAAGCCATCGCATCCAAGGTCGCTAAGCGCCACATGGCCGCTGCACTGTTTACCCTGCCCATCTACATTTATGTCTGAGTCTGACACTGAGCATTATGAGGGCCGGAGCTTCAGGGGAAAGGAAAGAGAGAGCGAGAGAGACGGAGAAAGAAGCAGTCAAACGGGATAAACAAATCTGCATGTGATGAGGATAAAAGCTAACGTCAATGCACAGTGAATGACAAGGAACAGGATGAAGATTCCTAGACACCCGGCGTAAGCCTGACGGTATCACGGGGAGAAGCAGCAGAAGATCTGCATTGCCAACAACCAGATGGAGGAACAACTGGACCATGGGACAATCTGGCTTGACAGATCTCACCGCCTAACACGTCTGGGAACGTCTTTGAGATTTTATTCTACAGCAAAAGGTAAAGGTGGAGAGAGGGAAGAAAAGGGGACAAATAAGGAATACAGGCTGGAACTCTGACACACGGTGACGCTCACAATGACTCTGATTAGGAGCGAAGTCCAAGAGGCTGACTCACCTCAGTACTGGGCCAAAAACACATGGAGAGGAGGGGGAGGGACAGGAAATACAGAGACAGAGAGGATGAGAGAAAGACTGAGACACCGAATGAAGGAAGGAAAGCTATGCTATGCGATATAACAAAGAAAAACTTGAGGACGATAGAGGGTAGGCGTAAAGAGATTAAAATGACACTGAGTTAAAAGACACAAGAAAGAGAAAAGAGTCAGAGAGAGGCTCAGAAAGAGTCAGAGGGAAAGCACAGAGTTACAGACCATCAGAGTGAAGAAGGGAAGACAAAATGGGTATTTACACTTAATCGATCAGATTGCTATCCGACTGGGTTTGTGTCTAAGCAAAATGGATATTAATCAGATCTGCTGTTCCCAGACTATATGGATGCTAATGCAGAGCAGTGAATTTTTCTGCTGAATGCTCTCTTCGGCTCAAATGGAAAATAGTGTTTGAATTCTGAGATCTGGAGGAGCACATTTTTATATTTGGCCGGAACAAGACGCATTTACACAACTCAGAAACATCTTGTATGTGTTTTAAACCACTTCTGCGGTGGTCTGAAGGTATGTATACACGACAACGATTATACTAAATACCGAAAAAATAATAATTTTGCATCTTTGAAAAGTTTCACGTACAGACATCAATGCTGTCAAAACAATCCCAGTTCAGATGGATCTGCAACAACGAATAAAACCCTGTATTTTGCATGCCAGGCCAGTAGTTGGCAATGTCACTTTGCAAAAGAAAACACTACACCTGTGCATGCACACATTCCTATAGACCGAACATGTAATATGAATGTGCATGGTGTCACCATTTTCACAAATTCATGTTTTTGTAGTTTACACAGAGACGACAAACGTATTGTTTTCAAAAACATGCACTTTGAAACCCGTTTTCAAAAGTTTGTGTGTGCAGGCCCCCAAAACGCCAATGTTATGTAAATGAACGGGTTAAAATCCCATTTCATTCTAACATTGTAACATTGCAATCTAAAAACAAAAATAAGGCTTTTAAAGCAGAAGTTAAATTCACTAAACTAAAAATGAAAATAAATGAGAACAAAACCATGATTTGTGTTAGGCTATTTTGATTATTCCATTACAGTCACTTTACAGTCAGTGCTATCATAAAAATAGACTTACTTGTAGGTTTAAAATTCTACATGTCACATTTATTGTCCAACTACAAATATTTCAGCGAAATGTATATTGTAGTCAGAATTATTGCGCTCCAATTTAATTGAGCTCGTCTGTTTGGCGCGCATGCGTGCGTTTGCGCTCGTTCACTTGAAGTTTAGCGAAGAATCCCAAAGCAGACTATGGAGTCAATATAATGCCACATATATATGCAAAATAATAACGTCCAACTCATAAATGTTCAGACT